TTTTTTTTTTTTTTTTTTCAGCTTCTACAACTGCTTCTGTACTGTTTACAAGTTCTGTTTCCATAATGTATTTGAAATACTACAGTTTCGCATCAATTATTTTTATAGTACCAAAAACATTTTTGGTTTATTCATATAACTTTGAAGCTGATGACTCAGTTCATTACAGGTATTATTTGTTCTACTTGCTGGAAGCTTCTATAAGTTTTGATAGGGAGTTCTGAGTTATTTTAGGGTTGAAATTCACGAGCGGAGATTCTGAAGCACTTTTTTAAATGGTTCGAAAGTATCGGGAAAATTAAATTTTTGAGACCATGAATTTGTTTGATGTGTAACTGTGTAGAGTCAGTTTTGGTCACCTGGGTCATAAAATGGACTTTCAAGAGGCTGGGAAAGATAATAATATGTTCAGAGTTTTTTGTGTTGTTATATTTTCAACAACAGTAACTTGATTGAAATCCTTAGAATTGATTGGAAGCCATACTCACAAATGCCAGAATTTCTTCGGATTTTAAGTCGAGACTCTACAGCTTCATCATCTGTAGTTTATATGACCAGTACAGATAAAAATCGTTATGTGTGTGAAGTTCCGAATGTGCAAAAGCAGGTTATTTCCATTTCGTAGCAGGCAAATAGATTGTGTGTAATAACACTACGGTCTTAATATATGTTTTTTAAGACAAAAAGAGATACTGGTAGTTATCGGGGACCTTCACCAGCGAAGCTTATTGAACCTCTCCACCAAGAACGCGTATGTTCCTACTGGCTTGATGTTTACTGGACGTACGAGTTGTGTCATGGTCGATATGTGTTACAGTTTCATGAGGAAAAGGAAACTAGTCGTCGTGCTCGTACTGAGTATTACTTGGGTAGTTACTCGCGGGATGTTGCTAAAACAGTGAGATGTTTATAAAAAGTTTATTGACAGTATGGATTTGTGTTTCTTCCATAATTTTTTTCAATAGTTCTATTCTTTGGTTTATTGTTAACAGTAGCCAAGAGTTTATTTAATAGCTAGATTATAACCTGTCTTAATAACCTACTGATCTGTAATCATCTATTGTTTCTGAAACGTTTAAATTTGCAAATACGCCTTGGTCTTTTTACTTTATAACTGTGATGTCGGTACTTTACGAAAAATATTTGAGGAAGAGGAGAATTTCAACAAACATTCACCTCCCATACGCCGAATTGATGATCGTGACTTGGCTTATTTTCCTGTCACTTACAAACATGGAACAGTCTGTGACTTAACTGGTAAACCTCGAACAACAGTGGTGATGTATGTTTGTAAAGAGGTGATGAAATTTTTGCTTTTGAAAATTTGTTTTTCCGGACATGTATATAGAAATATATAGTGTTTAAGGAGAGTAGGTTGAAGGTTGTATGTTTGAAGTTACGAAAGACGGTGATGAGTTAATTTTTGTTGGCGGAGCTACACTGGACAAATACTTATTAATTATGCCTGATGCATCTTATTTATATTCGCTTGGAATTTGCATAATTCCCGTTTAAAAGCCGCGTCCCACCAGGGGAGTCAATCAGACGCGTGCAGAGAGCGCTAATGATGAATTCAGTAAAGGAATGCTTCAGTTTCTGGGAGGTACCTTCTCAGGACCGAGTTTTGAATGTGGTAGAGAATTTCTTGAAGGATTTCTAGAGGGGTGTCGAGGAAGCGATATTGAAGATTTTTGGTGAATTGGAAGGAGTCATCAAAGGTGTTTAGTCGAATCGGTGATCGGTTATTAGTCTAAGTTAGTCCAGTGCACTAAAAGCGTGCCTTGTACGGATGTCAACGAAAGTGGCACAACTAATCGTGCTTTAAGGTGTAGTTCTGCATGTTTGGGAAGTAGAGTGTCGATGTTTTCAGTTTCTTCTCAACAATTAGGTCATATTTTTAGGAAAAAGACCTGTGGTCATGGGCTGTTTGTAAGAATCCTGGTTTTCTGTGTAGGGTAGTGTCATTTTAAAGGTTTGCTGGCACCTTTTTATAAAGTGCTTTTTTTAGAGTGATTTGCTACTAAATGATAGGAAGAAAGTTACTTTGGTGAGCGATGTGGAAAGTGAAGGCAAAATATCTGGGAACTGTTTAACTTGTATGTATTTAAGAAGCTATTCACTGTTACATACTGTACATTCAATTTTTACTTTTTTTTTCTATTGGTGACAGCCGCTCACTGAAGAACCAATGCAAATTTGGGCTTTCTTAAGTTTGAAAAACTAGTCCTCGGCCGTGGCGGCTTATGGCTTGCTGAATCATAAATAGTCTTCCCGGTCTTCTTTCAAATGTTACAGTCCGCAAGTCGAGTGAAAATAGAATTTTGCATTTTTCCTTCAAAAAAAATCCTAACACTGTCGCTACCGTGCGGATTAGACGTATACTCATTAGTGAAGATTTAGATGGTGTCTTCATTCATTATGATTCGATGCTGTCCGTAGCAGAAGTTTCTGGCGATTATTTGAAATGAGCGGTTGCTGCTATGCCACTTTGGTAAGTGGACTAAATTTGTGCGGAGGTGTCGTTGGTCTGGTTTTATAGCCCGCTTTAAACGTTTGTACCAGTCACGCGCCAATCAGCTCTTGGCAGCCGATACAGTTCTAACTAATGTTCCTTCTAACATCAAAATTTTTCGGCCAGGTTGAATTGATACTTTTGCCACGATTTCAGGCAAGTAAACATGGCAGGTTTCAATTGTTAGGGGAATTTCGTAGTGGGAAAACGTAGACTTTTTTTTGGATTGGGAGCTGAATGGTTAGATGAATCGCACTGTAATTGCTGATCCATATCAGTAGGGTACCAACACAGTATGTGAAAGAGAGGAAGGGAGAAGATGAAAGTATAATTACGTTTTATCAAAGAAGGACGAACTTTGTTTAGATTATTAGAGTTTTTGTATACCAGACTGATTAGCCTTTCTCGGCTCATTTTTTTATAGGGGAAAAAGATATTTTACAGCGAACAATCGGTTTCGTTAATTGTATTTTTTGGTAATACGTTGCTGAACTTCAGCTTATTCGCCGGACATCAAAAATACGGTCATTTACCGGCACTTTTTATTAATTTTTGCCGTCACTGTTAAAGTCTTGACCACCACTGTATGTAGCTACTAGGAATAGCGGCCCAAACACGTTTAGCTTTAACACTTTCCGGATATTGCATTTTATTGTTCCACGTTGTCTCTCAACCTAGCTCTGTTTGACAGATTAAGAGCGTTCAGTTTGAAAATCATATTTTAGAAAAAAATATTACCATGCTTTAAAGATGGCACCATCTTGAAAAAAAAAACATGATTATTTTGAGTGTGTCTCAACTACGTGTGTCAAATATGATTTGGTCTATTAGAAAAAATAGGAGAAATCTGTTTATCTTTCCGAAGCTTGTAGGATTCAATTCTGCCCTCTTTGGTTACACTATATTTTACAGCCGTCCTTGAGACAGATCTTTCCTTTATTTACCAAATTTAGGTTCTGCATAGAACGACAAGTGCACATTCAGTCAGACATTTTTGATAACTTTCTTCAGTCCGCTCAAAAATCTCAACATTTCGTTTTGGATAATTCATCATGTGTCGCTCAAGAGATCATCTCTTGAATTTAAACCTCGACTTCTAAAGGGCTATTTGAAGACCTGAAATCTTTATCACTGAATTCATCTATCTTTATGTATGTTTGCTGTCGTCATTTTCATGAGTTACAACTTTTTGACAGGGACTGCACTAATATGAGGAGGAAATTGGTAAGAAGCGTCTGTGATTAATACTTGTTTGTCTAGTGTTGTTGCGATATGATGTGAAGGTACAACAACACCGCGGCGGATAGCCCCGCAAACGAAAACTAACCTATTGCTGTATTTTATGATTTTAACAAAATTACTAAGTTTACCTTTCTGCAACATGATGTGCTATGCTCGGTTCGAAGCTAACAAACGAGGTATAGATTTATTCAAGAAAAGACGTTTGTTCGTTGGTTGCCAATCTAGATTAATGGGGGTTTTGCTTTTTTTAACCTGTTTTTCATATGGCAGTTATTCAGCAGAAGATTTCTGCGAGTGACTGAATTCATAGGTTGAATTTACTAAAGCGATGTGGGAAGGGAGGAGAAACCTGACATGCTTCTTCTTTTAATGTATATTAGGAACTGTCTTTGTCCTTTTTCAACATTCTCGCTATCATTATTGTTGGTCTGTTGTAGGATGGGAAAGACGGTATTTACGCTTTTGCGGAAACTTCTTCGTGCAACTATGAGATGATCGTTTTTACTGATCTCCTCTGTGCCCATCCAGCATTTAAACCTGCTGTTGCTTCAGAATATGCGATAAAGTGTTATTCGAAGGATCCTAACAATGGGACAATCAAACCAGTTCCTCTTTTAAAAATGGAGGAAGAAGACGCTACAGCTCGAGAACGTGTGAGTTTTAAAGTGCAAGATACATTTGGAAAATCAGTTTCAATGCTTTTTAAAGTAATGTTTTGAAAAAGATGCTTAAATTTTTTTTCTCATTATCCTATATGGACATAACTGTGGGAGTATTTGGAAGGAATATGCTAGTTTGCGATTTTGTTGCTTTTATGATCTATTTTTTTATAGTTTTGATAGTTATTTGTTATGACAGTATAGAAATTTTTTATTATTTTTATTTCTCTCGTCAGTTAGTAATAGCATGATTCTAATCAGTCCTCGTAAATTCCTTTCATTCTTCTTCTTCTTTTTCTTCTTTTTCTTATTCTCTTCTTCTTCTTCTTCTTCTTCTTCTTATTATTATTATTATTATTATTATTATTATTATTGTTACTATTATTAATACTACCTTATTTCTGATTTATTCTTTTTATGGGTATTTTAGTGGCTGGGGTGTCTGTCTTCATAATATTTATCTTCCATTTTTAGGAATATGGTTTAATACCTCCTCAAACAGTTAATAGTGATGCAGCATTAAAAACAGGAGAAATGGGAAAAGAAAAATTAGCACGAAAAGGTAAACGTTTACACTCTTCTGACCAAGCCCAGTTGGACGATGAAGATGATGATGACACATTAGGGATAAAGGAAATCCATCCGGCTAATTCGCAGCATCGTTAGTTTCTTATTTTCCTATCTTATACTTCTTTTAATCGTTGTTTTTGTTGTCGTTGCTTTTGGAAAGAAAGCAGCACTTTATTTCCGCTGTTTTTCTCCGACTGTTGAATTTGAGTTGTATTTTAGCAGTCAAGTTAGAAGTTTCACCACATTTTTTAAGAAGACCTTAAATTTTGCTATAGACTTCCACTTTTGCAGTTTATGTCTTTATTTATAATTAAACATTTTTGCAGGAGGGCGTGATGTTTCGAAAGATTCCAAAAAAGAAGGTCCTAGTCATGACCGCCAGTCAATATTAGTAGAAAATCGCGTCTTATTCAGTGGAAAAAGTTGTTTGTATGGTGGTGGTACCGGCTGGTGGAAGTACGAGTTTTGCTATGGGAAAAGTGTAATATCTTTTTCGTGGACAGTAATTTTATCAAATCCCTATTTGGATTGTGTAATTACACGAAATTTTTTTTGGGAATTCAGCAAAAGCTTTTCTGCGCTTCCTTAGTTTGGTTATTCATCGAGCTTTATTAAAGTTACGAAGTTCTCATAAATTGAGTAACTACTGTGTTTTGGAATTCGTTAGTGTTCTGCTAGACAAGACATCAGCGCAAGGAGTGTGAAGTGTAAATGAATAATTATTGGGTATGAGGTTGGCTTCTGAAAATTGGTTAGAAGTTCTTCTATGTAATTCAGAAGTTTTTTAGCAACTTTTTTTTTATCTTTGCACTTGTAGTAATGAGAAGAATTGATTTCAGGTAACTCAGTACCATGAGGACGCCAAAAATGGCCGAGTTGAAATACTTTTAGGGAGGTTTAACGAGGAAATTCAGAAGTTATGGATTGAACAGAACCCTCAGAAACGTCCTTTGAAAGTGCGCTTTAACTTACTTTTTTTCATAGGTTAAAAATGAAGACTTTGTCAGTATTTAAAAAGAACGATCGGTAAAAGGTTAATAAAGTGTTAAGTTTGGAGGTTAGATTGAATAAAGATAACTAATTAAAGAACTCTTGATTCACACATTGATTTAATAAATAGATTACCTCGGCTTGACTTGAAATACCTTTAATCTTTCATGCTTTCCAGGTAGGGGACAAAATTCAAGAAGTTTACCACATATATTCTGGTGGCGAGATATGCGAAGAAAAGGACTTTAGGCGGTTTGTTTCTATTATGACTGTTCTAAAAGTGTTACATGCGTATGTTTTGGTTGGTTTTTACTACTCTTTGGAGATTTAGACTTTCACTTCTTAAGTTATTGAATATTTAGCAGTGTTGAAGTCCGCTTACGTTGTTCGCAGTTACGGGGAAGTAATACGGCTGTTTCCCTATCATTAGTTGAACCAACAACTTGTCAATATATACTTCGCGCGGAGTCGTCTCGCTTCTGTGACATCTTACAGCAGGCGGATAAGTACGGTCTTTTCAAATTACCTGAATCAGTGCTGTCTTCAGGGAAGAATCTAGAAGAACCATCTAGAGCTCATAAAGAGCTATAAAGAAGTTTAAAGATTTTTGCTTTTTTTTTAATTTATATTTAATTCATATTTCATGTCTCTTTGATTCGTATTTCTTTTATGTTGAACTGTAGAAACAGTTATTGCTCTTATATTTTATATTGAAATATATTATGATTGAAATATGGATTACTTATTTACTTGGTGGTCTCTTTCAGTAATACCGATATTTGTTTGTGGTTTTAACACGGTGTGGTTCAAATTTGTTCAGAATTTAGTATAATTGTAAAAGGTTGAGTATTACTGCAGTTTCTTACTACTTGTATTACCAGTTTATGAAACGAGGTTTTTATGATGTCCACATTTGAGGGTATTTATCTAGGGTTTCTTTCTATCATTTAGTTTAGGATTACTTACAGTTCTGTGAATTGTTCGTGAATTTTTATTTTTTTGGTAATTTTGAATCAGTCAACTCCACGCTTAGCCAGGAATTTAATGATTCTGCTCGTTTCAGTGAAGCGTATTGTGTATATCTGAGGTAATTTATATTTGTTATTTGGTTAGTTCTCTTCTTAAAATTTTGTTGTACCTTTCGTTGTCTGTTCCTTCACATGTTTTGCTTGAACGTAATTATGTGCCTTTTTTTTCATGTATGAAGGTCATTTGAAGTTCAGTTACTGAATATTAGTTTTGGGTGAATCTTGATTTCGTGTTTGAGCTGTATATCTTATAACCTTGTGTGTATATGCGACGTTTTTGTTATAAATTGATTATTTTATTTTTTTTTTGCGGTGTATTTCATTTGAGGTACTAACCGAATTCATATTTTGCATAATGCCTATAGGGTTCTCTTGGAATGCGAAATGTGATTAAGAAGTTTTGTTGCTTAGGGGTATTAGTAGAATTTCTGGTTTTTTTTTATTGCTGATCCATTTCTCTTTCATCTTGAGGTGTTAACAGTAGCCAGCAATTGTGTCTGCAAAAGAAATTTTTGTCTTTGAAAGTGATGTTGGCTGGTGTTTTTTGACATGGAAAATAGCTCGTTTTCGCTGTGAAGTGATGCTGGAATATTTTTTTTTGTGTGTGTGTGTGTAAGGGAAAGGGGTTCTTTTTTAGAAAGGTAGGGTAGTAGAAGATGAACCCATTGAGTGCAAAAGAGTTGAGCGAACGACAGGAGATTGTAGAGAAGTTCCAACGAATGCGAGAGCAGCAGCAAGAAATCGCAGCTCAAATGCACAACATTGACGAAGACCG